AGCCAACGCCGGGCTTCCTTTGTGTTTCTGCGAGAGCGACGCTCCCGGTCCGGAGTCAGATAACAGCCCCGGCCCGAGCCTGGCCGGCTTCCCACGGCCCTCTCCCCGGCTGCCTTTCTCCTTAGTCGGCCTCTCTCTCTCCGCCCTCTCCCTGGTCTCTCTCCCAGCTCACTGATCAGGCGGAGGCCAGACCCGGACTCTTTCCTGTCTCTCGCCGCGGGGCTCCAGGGCCGGCTGTGGCTGGGGCTGAGGGGTTTGGGGAGAGTAGCTCCGGGGTGGCCGCAGGCCGTCTGGGGTAAATCGTTGTGTCTCTCGCAAAAGCGACTCACCCTCCTCCTAGACTCGCCCCTCCCGCTGCCTCTCCTCCAATCAATAAGAAATATCAGCTGTTTAGCAGTAAAGAAGAAAGATGCCCCCAGAAAGCTCCATCCCGCCTGTGGCGCTGGGGAACCCCCCCTCCCAGGCAAAGTGGCCAATTCTGGGTCCTTGGCCAACTAGCCCGAGCGGGCCTCGGAAGCAAGGGTACCGGCCTGGCCGTCAGAGCCTGTCTGGGTGGTGAATTCAGAGGAGTGGTGGCGCTTCCAGGTCTGGGGCAGACCTGCCCGGCTCTTGTGTGGCTCCTGTATGTCTCAGGGCCTGGGCAGGTGAAGGTCGGGCCAGGGCAGACCCCGCGGGGAGCTGGGGATCAAGGCTAGGCATTAACTGTGGAGTGTCTCTTTTCCTCCCCAGCTGTGCAGAGGGGCAGGATGCCGCCCACCCAGCCGACCCACGGGCAGTTCGCGCTGACCAACGGGGACCCTCTCAACTGCCACTCGTACCTGTCCGGATATATTTCCCTGCTGCTGCGCGCGGAGCCCTACCCCACGTCCCGCTTCGGCAGCCAGTGCATGCAGCCCAACAACATCATGGGCATCGAGAACATTTGCGAACTGGCCGCGCGGATGCTCTTCAGCGCCGTCGAGTGGGCCCGGAACATCCCTTTCTTCCCCGACCTGCAGATCACGGACCAGGTGGCCCTGCTGCGCCTCACCTGGAGCGAGCTGTTCGTGTTGAATGCAGCGCAGTGCTCCATGCCCCTCCACGTCGCCCCGCTCCTGGCCGCCGCTGGCCTGCACGCTTCGCCCATGTCTGCCGACCGGGTGGTCGCCTTTATGGACCACATACGGATCTTCCAAGAGCAAGTGGAGAAGCTCAAGGCACTGCACGTCGACTCTGCCGAGTACAGCTGCCTCAAGGCCATAGTCCTGTTCACCTCAGGTAGGAAGGAGCCCTGTTCTCTCATGCCTGGCGCAGAGTTAGGACCCAGAGAGGTTGGGACAGGCCAGGGCCAGCCTTTCCCTCCTGGAAAGGCCAAACTGTGGCTGCAATTCGAAGTGGGGATTCTGTGCAGCTGCTGGGCACCATCAGGCTTGGCCTGGCCAAAGGCAAGGCTGCTGAAAAGGTGTTCAGACACATCCTCCTAAACTGGGACCTGGGGGTGGGCAGCCTCCCAGGCCTCTTCCTCTTCTGCAGGGCCCAAACTGGGTGCACTCTCCTGCTTCCTGCCTGAGCCTGGGCCCCTTGGGCCTACTTGGCCCTCAGGGAATCTCTTCAAGTCCCTGGCTTTCTCTGGCACGTTGGCTGGGCCTCTAAGAGATGCTCTTGGGCACAAGCACAGCCCTGGCATCTTCCCTGCAGGAGAAAGTTTGCCCCCTGAAGGGAAAAAGTTTCCCTTGTAACTCAGTAGGAGTGTGAGATACAGGCAAATCCAACCTGAAGGAAGCAATTTTCTAACTCATATTCTTATTAAAATAATGCAGGAGAAGGGAAAAGAGCTGTCAGAAAGGGCCCAGAGGGGGAAGGTACCAGCAGAATAACCTCAGGATGTCTGCAGGGGTTCAAAGACTCTGGGCACTTGCTTCCCCCACCCAGGCAAACCATGAAGGCATCTTTCAAACAATCCAAAGTGTATGCCAACCTGGGCTGGATATGAGTGTTACTGGAGATATAAAACCATCATTGACTGTATTATGAAATCTAATTAGTTTCATGTAGTTTAACCTGTGTGAGTAATAGAACTGATATTAATTAACTCTTGAGGCCAAATGATTTTTGAAAGTGCCTAGTTTCCCATTTTGGGCCACACCTACTGAGCCTTTTGGTTGCCTCCAGGCTGAGTTCAGCGTAGCCCAGGTGGGTGGAAATCACCCCCTCCCTTCACATTCTTGTACTAAGTTGTCAGCTGATCCCTTTGTCAGGGCTGAGAGGGGAGAGGGGTTCCTGACTAAGAATAACAAACATTGGGACCTTGGCATGGCTCGAAACCCAGTCACCCACGGCAGGTTTTTAAAGTTGTAAGCAGGAAAGTAGAAGAGATGTATAGCTTAGGTCACAAACAAAAAAGATATCCACAGTTTCTCCCTTATTGTTTGACAGAAGTCTAGGGGATCAAGTCATCAGCTGAATCTGTTGTAGGTGCTGAGTTCCCAACTGTCTTCTATACAGTGCTGCCACTCACACGCCATCTCCCCCCACAACTACCCCAAATTTAGCCTTTGGAAGTCATCAGGATCAGTTAGAGAGCAGCCCCTGGTCAGGGAAGAGCTGCCAGGCTAGGATCTGATTCTCTTTCTCAGGAGCCTGTCATATCTCCAATATGTGCCTGACGCTCCAGTGGAAGCAGGACAGCCTACCCTAAGGCCACCTTCACCCACTCCCCACAGCCTGACCCCCCAGCCCAAGTCCTCAGACCATAGGGGTGGTTGTTAATTTCTTGATATCATTGTTAGTTCTTCACCTTACCCTTGGTCTTTCAAGGAAAGAAATGACTGATACTGTCGTAACAGTTTAATTTATTACTGTTTGCAAAATGCGGAGGCCTGTGTGGAGAATGCCAATCGCCTCACAAAGAGATAAAGGTGCCTGTTATCTGATTCAGAAGGAGCCTCACAAGAGCAGATGCAAGAGCAGGAGTCCTAGACAAACAGATCCTGAAATTCCTCACCATAGACACCTATGCATTCATTCTGTAGACTCGTAGAGTCCTAGACATGGATTCGAGGAGGTTGGCTGGTTCTGGTTTGAGGGGAGGAGGTGGTAGCGTCTGTTTTGGAATATCTGCTATAAGGATTCACAGTATGCATGCGTTAACCCCAGTCTTGTCCGGGGAGCCCGGAGAGGTCAGGTCACCACCTGAACCGCCTTCCCCAAGAAGCCTCTCATTTCAAAGGCACTTACTATGTTTTTACATATCAGAAAAAGAAAAGTGCTTTCCTGGAGATAGCAGGGAGGGGGGTGCTTCTTGGAGGGACCTGGGTTTAAAAATTTTTTTAAATAAATAAATAAAGGGAGGTGGGAGAAAAAGGGAGAGAGAAGAAAAGGGGGAAAAGAAACAGCTCAAAAGAACAGAGATCACAGTTTGCATGGCTGCCCCTCAATAGGCTAAACTGACAAGATCAGTTTTAAAGGGCCACTTAAATCAGTTTCAAAGACTGGAGAAGAATGAGTCGCCTCTTTGGGGAGAATCTGAGGCTGGGTTGTGGACGCCATTGCTTGAGTCTGGGCCAGGTTGTGCCCCACCCCCCAGCCACTATATAATTATAATCCAAACTATTATTTACTGGGGGGGGCACTTTGGGGCAGTTTTGGTTTCATCTGTTTGTCTGTCTGGGTACTGACCTGGGCCAGATTCCCCCAGTGCACAATGCTTGAGCCTCCCACAGACCCATTCTGAGGACTGGAGCACATTGGGCTGTGTTATATTTTAGAGCAAACACTCCAGGATCATCTCGTGCCCACCATCCCAGGTTTCCACTGCATAGGCTTTGGCCTCTGACTCTGAGTTGACAGAGCCCTGTGAGAACACCTCATGTGACCATTTCAAACCTCTTAATCTGATGACTGAATTTTTCTTCTTTTTCTTCTTCCTCCCTCTCCCTCTCTCTCTTCCTCCTCTCTCTCTTCCTCCTCTCTCTCTCTCTCTCTCTCTCTCTCTCTCTCTCTCTCTCTCTTTTAACTTTCTTCCAGATGCCTGTGGTCTCTCTGATGTAGCCCATGTGGAAAGCTTGCAGGAAAAGTCCCAGTGTGCTTTGGAAGAGTACGTTAGGAGCCAGTACCCCAACCAGCCAACACGATTCGGAAAGCTTTTGCTTCGCCTGCCTTCCCTCCGCACCGTGTCCTCCTCAGTCATAGAGCAATTGTTTTTCGTCCGTTTGGTAGGTAAAACCCCCATCGAAACCCTCATCCGGGATATGTTACTGTCCGGCAGCAGTTTTAACTGGCCGTATATGGCAATCCAATAAATAAATAAATCAAAATAATAAGGGGGAGTGAAACAGAGAAAGAAAAGGCAAAAGACTGGCTTGTTTGCTTAATTTCCTTCTGTTAAGAAAGGATATAAAAGGATGTTACACATTTGCTAAAAGAAGAGAGGGGAAGAATTTAATGGACTGTGAATTAAAAAAAAAAGACTGTCAAAATGAACTTTTACAGAATGCATTAAAAAAAACTCCTGTGTTGGTCAGAAAAACTTGCTACTTATCATTTTTGTATAAAAAGGAAATTAGTCTTTTTCTTTTTTTGGTAAATTTTTGAAAAATATTGCTAAAAGTGCATTTAAGGAGATTGGGAGAAAATTAGCAGAATGGAGAAAGTAAGTCTTTTTTTTTTTCCAAATTATTAATTGTCCTGTGTCTATGTACCTCTAGCTGTTCTTTTTTGTACTTTTCTGGTTCCAAACCAGTTTATTCTGTGGTTCTATAATAAGTTTTGATATAATCTTGGCTTCTTAAAAACTGTGTATCATTAAAATATATGTTCTGCAAGAATTAAAACTGAGTCCATGAGAATATCATAGGAAGACATAAAACTTTAAAAAAAGCAACTCAAAGATGATGGAGACGCACTTACAAGTGGCGACCAAAAATTTTAGGTGAAGTTGAGCACTCTAATTAGAGAATGGGAGGAACCACATACAAAACTTAACTTCCCCTACCCTCCCCTAGCCCCGAAAGACACCATGGCAAACCTAGCTTTTTAAAAATATTTTAAGAAAGAGAATGAACTGTGGAATTTATTGGCAGCCAAGGAATGTGTCCAAGACACATGCTGAGGTTTTGAATAAAAAGTGAACTTTTGTAATTTGAATTGGGTTCCCACTTAGTTCTTGAATTGTTACGAAAATCCTATATCTGTTTGTATATTTGCAAGCCCTTTGTATTATAATTGTTGATATTTTCCCTTTTTAAAAAATACCATTGAAATCAGCATGACAAAATAACACTGTTGGCACTTATAGGTAACGTGATTGATTCAGTATCTTAGAGTTTACAGTTTGTGTTTTAAAAAACTGAAGGTTTTTTTTTTTAAGTGCAACATTTCTGTATACTGTAAAAGTTATAATAACTGAACTGTTTGGTCGAGTCTTTGTGTGTTATATTCCAAGGAAAATTGAAAGTATTCAGAAATTAAAATATTATTTGATATCTGAAACCTGTTTGACAGTCGCCACTCACTGTCTGTCCCTGGAGAAGAACCCCTGAGCTCTGGAGGGGCCGAGCTGGCTGGGGTGGGGGGCTCATTTGTTTACTGCCCTCAGTGAGTCTGTCCAAAGGTGGACTGAAAGAAATATTTGCCTGTTTAATTTGGGTGTGTGTGTTGGGGGGGGAAGCTGAAGTTGGTGGTTTCTCTATGGTTTAGGAAGTGCCACACTGATATAGTAAGCCACCCCCATTCACCTGATCCTTTTAATTAAAAATGGATTTTCCAGGAAAAAAAAAAAGGCCCTATATTTGTCACACTTAAGTGCCTGCTTAGGAAAAGTATTGTGAAAAGTATTAGAAATCTTGAGATCACTATCTATTTTATGATCAGGAAAAATACTCTTTTGTACATTTCTGACAGTTTAGGCAGGAGATCATTCAAGCAAGCTAATCACAGCATAGTAAATGGGGGACAGTTGTTTGCAATGAGTTTTTCCTTAAGTGGGTGTGATTTTTTAAACATATTCTGTGGTTCTCATCTAGCATGGTTGTTGAGAGGATTTCAGATTCAGTGACACAGCTTAGAGTGCTAAAGGGTCTGCTGTTCATGTATATATGATAACTTGCAGTTGGGCCAGCCTCTCCCCTCCCCCTTTACCTTCAGTCTGATCACAGGTCAAGGGAATCTTCTCCACTGGAGTTAACTATGGGAAAACACATCGACATTTGGACATTTCAGATTGTGTAGATACAATCTGTGCTGCTCTGGGATCCTTTGTCCTTAGAAATCAAATTAAGAAAACAGAAAAGAGAGAGAAGAAAACTTTACAGGGTGTGCTGATTTGGAAGTAGTCACTATTTGTTTAAATCCCCTCCCCTTCCTTTTTTTCCTGGTTCTGGGAGCTAGCAGTTTGTTCTTATTTAGACTTTTCAAGCTGCCTTCCCACAAATATAACTTTACCATGTTGTGGTTTAATCTTCATATGGGGGGGATGTGGTGAGGAGGTGAAAGAAAAGAGGTCATTTTGTAAAGTGCATTAAACTTTGATACTCAGTTCCAGTCAATACATGCAGACCAGAAAAATCTGATTTGTGCATTTGAGCAGACTTCTCCATCTGACTCTCAGCTTCTTTCTGTAGATATATACATATATAAATACAAGTATGTTCTTATGGCACAGTATCTTGGACCTTTAGATGGAGGTTTTCTCGGTTGTTCATTTTCTCCTCTTGCAAGTGCTATCCATGTGAGTGTGTGAAGTTTTCCTAATACGTCAAACACAGACCCTTTTCCTTGTTTGTTTTGTTAGTTTATTGTAAACAGCCATTGTTGTAAATTATTATTGGCATTAAATTATAATTTATGATTTTCAAAGCAAAAGACATTCCCTGTTTTATTATGCTTTGAGCATGTGTTCTAGGCGTTGCAAATCTCTCTCACTCTGTAAGTTTCAGCAATAAGCTTGGGGTCTGCAAAGCAAAAAAAAAAAGACAAAATTTTCAACCGGTTAAGACAAAACCCCTTGTATATGTTTAGAGGGCCGGAGGAGGATCTGTTTAGAGTCTTGAGTTTGGTTTAAGTTTATTGCATTTAAAGAAAGTTTTTCTTTTCATGCTGAGTTAGAACAAAAGATCTTTGCTGCGACCGAATTGGACAAAAGAGGAGGGCTGGGACCCAGCTAGTGCGTTCTGTGTGAAATTGACGAGATCTTTAAAAAAAAAAAAAAAAAAAACTGCTAAACATGGCGACTCTTTCCCTTTAAGTGTCTCTTTTTCCTTGCTGTTTTTTTTTTTTTCCTCCATCTGATCTGAGCTCGCTTTCTTTTCCCAAGCCCGCTCCCCCTCCTCCTCTCGGCGCTCGGGGGTGTGAGAGAACCCAGTTAGACGCGAAATGCAACAATAGTCCGAGGAGAGAAAGGGGCGATCGCTGCTTCTCGCCACTTTCAAACAAACCTGGGGGAAGCCCGAGCTAGCGGCGGGGGGGGGGGGGGGGTGGGCGGGGGT